TATAACGCCCCCACGGCTGAAAGGGCGAGCATGTTTGGTGGGACGGGGATTCGAACCCGCGACCCGCAAATTGCGAGTCGAGCTCCCTAACCACCTGGGCATGCCGAGCCGAGCAAAAGAGAATATAGTTGTGTGAAGTTAAGTACCGCAGAGGTGATAGGCATAACGTTTAATGTGTTAGAGTGAAACTAACAGTATAAAAAAAAGATAAGAAGGATAATTTTATTCCGTCAAAGCGTGGTTCTAAAGTAATTGAATCAGCCTGGGTACACTTTGACAAAAGGAACAGAGGATCTTCAGAAGAAAGAAGACCAAACGAATTACGGTAACTTGCGCCACAAATGTAAGTGAATCATACACAGAATACTAGTACGATAGTAATGTAGAGCTATAATAGTAATGTTACAACAGAGGAAGTCACGTGACGCTGGTAACACGTCATGAGTTTCTAAAAGGATCATTACTTTTTTGGCAACTCTAGTATTTTCCAGGCGCTCTCTGTTTTTGTATATAAGCCCGGCAAATAAAGCGGAGATAGATAGCAGATAGAGAGATATAGAGATAGATAATTGAGTCAAGCGAGAGGTAGTGACCGTAAGTAAAGTGCGTGAATCGTTGTGAATTATAGCGTGTGTTTATGTTAAAGTGACTGTGGAAAATTAAGTGTATTGCAAAGTTGTATTGAAAAAGAATAAACTAGTTTTATTTAAGAAATGATTTCTATCGCTGAAGTTCTTCGGAAATAATTTTTACGGAAAATTAACAAACGAACAGAGACGTAACAGTAATATAAATTTGTGCTGATAAGCCTGTGAAGCGTATAATGATATTAGATAAGCGAATAATCAAGTGATAAAAATATTTTGTTTTGAGCCATCTATGGTTTTCATAAACACTAAAAGAACAAATATATTGCATCTACAGTATTTCAAATATTTATGTAAACGTTTCGTCACGGGTGAAATTTATGAAAGCTATTTACCTCACTGCCCATACCAAGAGTCTCACCTAGTTTCTTGTACAAATTCAAGAGTTTAACCAAAATCACATAGATTTTAAAAACGCATTTTCTAGCTTATCATGAATAAAAATATTATCGTTTTGATAAAAATTGCTAAAATTTTTACTGTTTTATTATTATGAAAAAGTAAAGGATAAATTGATAGATTTGTAAATATTTACAATTGTCGCTAGATTTCCTACAGATATTTCCATAGACAAGTTATCAAAACCTTTTCATAAAAGAGTTTAATAACCTTATTAAAATATTTCCATAAAGATTATACAACCTCAGTAATATCCTGTTAAAAGTGAAGAAAGTCAAGATGTATGTTTTGAACATCTACTGAAAGACTTTTGATTGTGTTTGTATAATTTCCACTACATGTAAAGTGCTTGCCAGAAAAAAAAAAAAAAATAAGAGAAAAAATTAAATCATAACTTAAAGACTATTAGAAAATTTGAAGCTTTCTGATGCATCAGAAGAAGTTCTGCTCAAACAGCAAGATTCTTAACAAAGAAGGAAACTAAGAGAGTATTTTACGACTGAGCAAAGCTAATCCATAATTGTCGATTAGGACGGATGATGGTTTGTTCATTTGCATACTTTATATATAGTATATAATCTGTAAGGGAATAAACAACAAAAGCAGAATATATATATAACAGTAGTTTGAGTTTCCCATTTATAGAAAAAACATATTCGGAAAATAAGGATACCTAAGTGGTGATCAGAGTTATTCAAAAATCAACTGAAACTGAAGAAGAAAACAGTAAGCGATATTCACAGAAGTTGAATACGTTATATTAAAACGAATTTGTAGCTTCACTATATCATTACAGTTCACGTAGCCAAGTCTGGCCATTCATCTAGACCATGCATCTAAACAATAGCCATGCAGCGTAGTTTCCGTTGGAAAAGGTCCCATCGCATGGATGTCCAAAATACACCATTCTTTCCTATATGTTTTCCATAAACTATCTAGAATATGAGGACAAAGGTTTCTTAGAGCCTATTTCATTAGCTTTAGCACACAAAAATCTGTAAGTACTGGATCTGGCGACTTGACTGATATGTTTTCGTTTGGTATGGCATGAATTCCCGTTTCATTTTCTAGCTGGCTGAGGTATTCGATGGTCGGTCGGATATGTCTTGATTGCAACATGTGTACACATGACTTGTAACGCTTTTCAAGACGCAGATCCTTCTTGAACGTATTACCTACTGTTGCTTATGTTACATGAACAGCTTTGAGCACTAACATTTGTGTTTGTAGAATCCCACCTGTTACAAGATGCCGCACTTTGCTAACCATTGCGGGGGTACGACTTGTTGCAGGTCTCTTTCTAGATGATCCTTCCTGGTTACCCCAAGCTGATCCATATTCCTTTGTTTTCAACACTATTAAGTACAAAGGATATCTCCGTTTTGGAAATAATAAATCCTCTATGTGAACAAATTTTTATTATTTGTGTGTGTATGAATATTTTGCATCAGGAAAACTGTTACATAACATTCAAAATGTAGTTATGATTCAGCCATTCCACTACGATTGTATATATGTTATGTTTGTCATGTGACTTGCTTATTTCCAAATTCATAATCGTATTATTATTAAGGTACTCAACCCTCTGCATTAACATGGGTGCCCAATAATCAAACTAAATAAAATTTACGTATAGTAGTTCAAAAACGAGTTATAAAAGAAGGACTGTTTTTCTTTCTTCTTAAGTACAAAGCTATAGAATGGACTATCATTTCTCTGCCAACCGCAAATATGGATACCAGATTTTTAGCGTTATAAGTTGTTAGACTTACCGCTGAGCCACTAGGGAGCTTATTGCTAGGAAAACAAATTATTGGTAAAAATCTGTGTTGATATGTATATTATTAGAAACTGTGTATCGTTACGAGATAGCGTAAAAGTTACAGAATTTTCCCACAAAATTGCAGAAATGGCACTTTGCACATAGCCATTTCTAATTTTGTCTGTTTATTGAATTTCACTTTCACGCAAAGTACTCGAGGGCTATCTGAGCTAGTTGTTCCTAACGTTTTAACTGATAGACTAGAGCGCAAACAATTACACTACAGCACACACACACACAATTTTTTGGTTACTATTATTTGACCAAATAATGGGATTTGACCGTTAGAAAGTGTGGAGCGCGTTTTTGCAGAAAAAGGACCCCAAAACTTGAACCCTGAGATTTACAGTGCTGGCGTACTAATCACCAGGCCACGTCTAGCCGCCGTAAAAAAATCATGTCTTAAATTAAATAAGGAAAGAATGCAAAACAAAACACGAAACTTTGATTGCAGACTGTAAGCTTTGATTTCTTTATTAAAGCTGTGCAGAATGTATCCTAAGTATTTTAATTGTAAAGTATTAACTGATTCTAAAAGATAATCAGTATGTTTTCAATCTGGGTAATAAATCATAAATTATATTTATCTTTTTATCATTTGTAGACTTTATTGATGTTATTATTACTGAGACTGAAGAGGACGCACGAATGTGTCGAAACTTGTTTCTCTAATATAAGACTTCTGACAGTTTGTTCCATTTACTGTGGTTTTTCACTAATTGCTTTACACGATATTGTGTTCTTTTATCATTATTGCGCTTAAGTTTGTTTATTTTACTATTCCGAGTTGTCATAGTTTATTCATAAATAAAATGACTAATATAAAATCCGTATAGAGAAAATTTTGTCTGAGTTGCAAGATTATAAACATTTTAGGCGTCTTACGATATATAAGGGTAGAAATGCCATAACAAAACGTATACTGATAAATAAATGAAACAATAAATATGTCGAAAGCGTAAAGTACCTAATTGTAGTGTCTCTAGTACTTGTATCATTAGAAAGCGTATATAACCACAATGAACTATCATACAGTATACGTTTCGTACAGATTGATAAATTTTCATGTTATAATTCCTCCAGGCTCTGAACGTTATTAAATCCTTTGTATGTTTACTTTGCGATGACAGTGTTATCTCCACATCTAGACCTGAAAGTTTGTTGCTAGGATATTATCTTGGTTCTTTATCTATCTACCCAGTACGTGCAACAATTGTCAGTCAGTATGAAGGAGAAAAAGTTACTAAACAGCTATCACACATTACACTAATGACTTCTTTCATAACTTTGTCTCAGTGGCAGACATCTGGCACCTTACAGTTCAAACTGGCCGCTCCTGTTTACTGCCATTCTAAAAGGCGTGTTAGATATCATATGAAACGTTTGGAATACCACTATTTTACCCAAACTTGTTTTATTACGTCTAATAATCAAATTGGATGCCACTTGCTTTTAGCAATGATTTTTAGGTTACTCTGACACTGTTTTGACGTATGTGGTTTAAGGCCCGTTTTCAAAGTCTACTTTAGTAACTGGCATCCATTAGTTCCTTCTAGTAAATGAAAATGAAGTACCATACTTTCATTAACCCAATAGATTTGAATGAAGATGAAATGTATCGAAAAAAAGATAATACATTTTTAGATTTGTGTTGTCCATGTTTAAGAAAAACTGAATCACAGGACCGTTTCATTCCTATAGGTAAGTTTTATTTCAGTTTTTGTTATTATAAATACGAAGTGTAGATGTGCTGTGCCCAACGCGAGTATTGAAACCCAATTTGTATTATCGTAAACACTTACACTTCTCGCTCAGTTACCGAAGGACATTTTATTCAATAGATGACAAAACTGTATATCTCTTGCATAATTATATTTTCAGTTTTTTCATGGTGTTCACAGTTATTAGTTATTTAATTTTATTGCAAGTATTTTCACTTCATGTTCAAAGACAACTCTTGTTATTTTGTTTTTATGGTAAAAATTATAACTTTTTTTTTTTGTGGCAAAGCAGTTCTTTTTTGCACAAATAATTTTCATTAAAATATCTGTAATAGTAACTTTCAGATCCTAGCATACCTTTGCTATTATACACATTTCCCTAATTTTCAAATATTTTTTTTGAAAATACCTATTCATGAAAAGACATATGTTTAGGGCGAGAGTACAGACTTACTGTAGTAGCTATATGCATTTTTTCAGCATTTATGCTAACCACTTTTGCTACAGTTTACAACATATCTTCAAAAACTTTAAAGGAATTAATGTTTAATTTAAGTGGGTCGATAGGTCTGTAGTACATGGTGGTGTGGGGAAGAATTGGTATGAGGGCTCCTGGAAATCTCGTCGCCCTCTCGGTAGGCGTGGTGGCAAATCTTCCTTCATTTCACTGTTACACCTTTTGTGAAATACGTAAACAATATGCAGATTATTATTTTGGTTTATTAGTTCGTGTTTTAGTTTTAAATGGATATTCACCAATATTGAGAGGGATTTTTTGAAAATGTTGGTTTGTGGTTAAGTCCTGGGCATGGTTCCCTTTCTCATTCAAACAATTCCTTACGTTATAAGTTAGAGATATGTCTAAATTAGAAGTCAATATTTTATGCAGTCAACTCAGTGTTTCAATAGTTGAACAACTGCCTGTGTTTAATGAAGTGCGGTCTACTGATAACAGACCGATAAGTTTAAAACCATTCGCAAAATATAACTTAGAAGGTAAATCGAACACGGACACAAAGAAAAGAACCACACACAAGTGAACAAATAAACAACATATTTATTCATAATAATTATGGCCGACTATGTCTTTGGCCGATGTGGACGTGTGCTCAAAGAATCTTACCCTAGCAACCAATAAGAGGCAATAGAAAATTCTAATTCACGTCCACAGAGGACAAAGACAATACTGAAAGTAAACATTAAGTCCAATTTATTATTTATCAATTGTCACTGAATTATCTGATTTAGGGAAGTTCTATCCTTCATCAGTAACCTTGGACAAAGACAAATCGAAAGAACAAGACTAGTCTTCATATAATGATGGAGTGTCTATAATATGATATAATAGACAAAGGAATGTCTGTTCTGTAACTGAAATTCAGACAAAACGTTAAAGGTCTATATATGAAAATCTAAAGCTGTAAACGTCATCGACTATTCCAAACAATATTTATAGGTGAAGAAAACCTACAACTTGTATTAATTTATATAAATATTTTGAGACGGACTATTCTTTCATCAGGGGAACAAAGACAGGGCAAAAGTGATATTAATTTCTAGCTGACATATGTAAGTATACCTGAGTAAAAGGATTATTACATGTTCACAACCGTTAGATGTTCCGTTAACAAGAAAGCTATTCTACAGCAGAACGTCTATACGAAAACTTTGAAACATTTAACTAAATATATCTATATCTAGATATATATTCTAAATTAGTTATAGAATGAGGAAATTCACAACTATTTCAATCATTACAATTTCCCTGGCTAGATTGTGGAATTAATTATTGGTCGCAAAATGTTGTAATCATTTCCTTCAGGCGACACGATTCTATGAACACAAACGAAGACAACAAAAACTCAGTATATGTAAAATAAAGTCGAAATAAAAAAAAAGATTACGACTCAAAAATAAAGTAGATACGAAAAGATGAACTCATAATTTATAAAAATAGAAAATTACTACTCTAAAAATAATGTGCAGAATAAAAGCATAGAACAAAACCATTATAAAATAAATTACACTGTAAACTGTACACAAAGTCATATAATAAACAAACCTAGAGGTACCTGTAAATTACATATGCTCTGTATATTTTGATCATTGGTGGTAAATGAACGTATTACCGTATACATACATACATATACTGATTTAATTTTGTAGAGAAAGAAAGAAAAAGTAAATATATATATATATATATACATGAAGAAATATACTTGAAAACAAAGTAACGCATCCATAAAACAAGTATCCCACACCGGGGCACAAATCATAGGGCAGGTCATTATGTAATATGCTCTGGTTTTTTGAGGTACCGACGTAAGTAAGATTTAAATTGAGTTGGGGGTACACTGTCTACTCAGTTTACTAAAAAAATATACTCGGAAGAGATTCATCTGAGTAGAAGTTTACTAAATAGATAGATACACATGGTGTTAATCTGGTGTTACAATATTAATTTATACAAACTTGCTTAATCTAAGTAGCTGATATGTACTATACATATATACACATACAGGTTTATTCAGGATAGCAGAAGTTTACGGAAGAGATATATACACACACGGGCTTAATCTGAGTAGGAAAAGCTTATTGAAAATATTTACACACAAATGGGCTTAATCTGAGTAACAGAAGTTTACTAAGAGATATACACATACGGGTTTAATCTGATATACAAACAATGGCTTAATCTGAATAAAAGACCTTTATTAAACATATATTCAAACACGAAATTCATTTGAGTAAGAGAAATTTACTAAAAAATACACAGGCTCTATCTTAGTAGCAAACGTTTTCTAAACAGATACACAAACATGGGTTTAATCTGAGTCCCAGAAGTTCACCAAATAGATATACACAAACTTGCTTAATTTCAATAGGCGATATTTAGTATACAAATATACACATACACGTTCAATCTGAGTAGCAGAAGTTTACTAATTAGATGTACGGACTTAATTTTAGAGGCAGACATTTACTAAACAGATATACACAGACGGGCTTAGTCTGAGTACGTGAAGTTTTCTGAACAGATTTAGATACATGGGTTTAATATAAGAAGCAGAAGTTTACTAAAGAGGTATACAAACATGGGTTTAATTTCAGTAGCTGATTTTACTAAAAAGATGAATACGAACGTGTTTAATCTGAGTAGAACAAGTTTACTAAACAGATATACACACATGGGTTTAATGTGAGTAGCTTAAGTTTGCTAAACAAATATAAAGAGACGAGCTTAATCTGAGTAGCAGAAGTTTACGGGCTTCAGCTGAATAGCAGAAGTTTACTATACCGGGTGTCCCAAAATGCATATACCAAAAAAGAAAGTGGTGTAACATTTGTATTATTTGAGATAACAAAAAAAATTAAAACAAGATATCTTCTGAAAGCTTGTAAGTTTTATTTAACTTAATTAATAAACTTCTTCATGTCTTCCATAATTAGCTATAATCAATCTAATTCTGCGTTCAAATTCTGAAAACACATTTTCCAACACAGCTGTAGGGACGGATAAGACAGCATAACGGATACGAAGTTACAGTTCAAATCTCTTGGTTTGTTATGGTAGACCTTTGTTTTCATAAAAACTCAAAGATAAAAGTCCAAAGGGGTGAACTTCGGGGAACTCTTTACGAGTTGTCATTTTACTCAACAATAGGGTCCGTCCTGAAATCTGTAATAAAACACATTCATAAATAATAATGATAAATAATGTAAGTAATAACACTAATAATTAACTTCAATAAACTTACAAGCCTTTAAAATATATTTTGTTTTGAATTTTGTTGTTATCTCAAATAATAAAAATGTTATTCAATTTTCTTTTTGGTATGTTCATTTTGGGGCAACCTGTATAGGTAATAATTTGAGTGGCAGAAGTTTAATAAACAGATACAGATATGAGAACGGAAGTGTAATAAACAGATATATACATATGGGCTTTATCTGAGTACCTAAACCTTGCAACAGCCTGTCCCCCATATCAGAATGCCCAGGCTTACACTCTCAGTAAACAGCTGAAGACCGGTGAAGAGGAATTGACGGTGGCGGCAGAAGAGAAGCGAGCGCGTTGATCGCTCGTCTAGAGCAGCGTCTCTTGTGACTAAGGAGACCGACACGAGAGTGACAGTCCCGGTTGCAGAGGTCACATATGTGCGTTGACGCTGGTCTGTTGGCTGCCTGTTCCTTTTGATGTGAGCTAACAATGGACGAATGCTCATCCATGGTCAAACCTGGCCAAAGGAGGCCTACAAGGCTACTATGAGGGAAATCGGGACAAACTGAGAATACTACAGTTGGTAATGTCTCACTTATAAGTTGATAGTTTCATTTTTATATTGACCCAATTATAGGTTGATATTGTTAATCTTTATATTCAAACAGTTATAAGTTAAGTAGTTATCGTAAGGTCGTGGTGATGGGATATCATCCTATCAAACGTTCTCATGGAAAAGAGCCATGATTAGATGGAAAAAAGGGAAGATATATGAAACATGCTACGTCACCCTGATAACATACTCAGCCAACCTATCGTAAAAGTAAGCAAAATATAGGTAACCTTCTTGAAAAAAATTGAAATAACTGGTTGATTCAAGTCATTCTATCAAGACGACTCAGGATCGAATCCTGACCAAAACCACAATCACAGATCTTTCTAGAATATCCGTGAATACGACAGGAGATTAGGAGCTGCAATGTGTGCTATCATCTAATTAGTATCCAGTGATGATAGTAAGAAATAATGATAATAAGTAAAGAATTACATAGATTTAGATCAACGACTTCTGAGCCTCAAGACGTTTTAACAGTTCATGTTTCCAGTCCTCTCTCACAAAAATAGCTCTATAGCATTCTTTCTATATGAAATGTCTCTGTCCTAAGGATGATATGTCTGATGCACACACTCCTCCCTGCTTACTTTCCATAATCCATCTAATGTACAAGGATGACGATTTCCCAGCGCTCACTTCAACA